AATAGTATAGAAAATATACGCAGGCAATTTTAAAACTTAAACAAGATTGAAACAAACTACACACAAGGGGATTTGAACCCCCATCATTCCATGCCCTTTGACAAGGGTCTTAACCACTGGGGCATCAAATCTATCAATATAAATTTTGAATCAAAATTTTTGTATTAGAATTAATTTATAAAAAAAGAACATATTATTACTAATAAATAGTTTAGGGTATAAGTTAAAACAAAATTTAATATACTTTCTAATAATAATTAATTATCATAAAAAATAATTCTCTACAAAAATTAATAGCAAAAAAGTGAGTACTTGTTGAACTCAGGTTATAAATTATAATAATTTTGCCCAAATAATTTATTTTCCAAAGAATTCAAATTTTTTATTAATAAAATCATAAATAATACTAATTGGATAGGCTCCAACATTTTAAATATTTAAACACTAAATAGAGTTTCATTTAATGGTATTCTTCTTTCGGTTCATGAAATGGCTTAGGTGTTTTTTTTTTTTAACCTTCAAAATAGTTTAGGTATGTAGTGAATTAATGCTAAATTTTTCATGCTAGGTTTTCCATTCAAATGCAAGTATGATGTGTCATTTACACCACTTTGTTAAGTTAACCACCATGGGCAAACGATATTACTTGGATGTGGGTTACTAACTAACAAGACGGTTGAATCATCCATGTGACCATTTTGACTTGGGTTGATTGCATGGGGGGTGTAAAACCTAAAGCTTCATAACGAATCAGTGCAGTGCCATACAAAAAGCAATGGAAATAGTATTCCCAAGGACTAGTCATAGGTGGTGTATATGGTACATTCAACAAAAATTGCCAATGAAGCTAGGATCATTGTGGACAGATCAAGAACTACAGAAAACTTTCTCAAGCTTAATATATCATTGCACTGATCAAGTAGATTTTGAGGAGAAATGTGTAGGTATGTTTAAAAAACATGCACTAAAAGAGAACAAATGGTTGAAACAATTATACGATAAGCATGAAATATGGGTACCATTATTTTTGAACAATACCTTTTAGGTCGATATATCATCAACACAAAGGAGTGAAGGGTTAAAGGTTTGTTTGATGGATTTGTAAAGGGGCAAATGAGTTTGAATACTTTTGTGGGGAAATATGCGATAACATTGAGGAGGAGAGTGGAGAAGGAAGCTAAAGTAGATTTCCAATAATATAAAATAGCAATCAAATGTGTTATTAAATTGGATTATGAGAAGCTAAAGTTCATAGAGATACAAGCTAAGTTGAAGGACATGTTGGGAATTTTCCTTGAGCATATTGAGGAAGAAGAAGGGTAGAAGAAAGGTAAAAGATATATTGCTATGAAAATGGACTTGGGTGGACCAAAAAGGTTAAGTTACATTAGGAGAAAAATGGAATAAAATGCCCATGTAGGGGTTTTGAGTTCCAAGGGACATTGTGTCCTCATGCATTAACTGTATTACTACAGCAAAAAGAAAAAGAGTTTAATGGTTTATATATTATTGATTGGTGGTGAAAAGACATACACTAGAGCTATAATTATGAGCGATATTATTCGATTGCATATGATAAAAGACTTGAGATGCAAAGGTATGAAGAGCTATGACATGAATTGTTACAAGTGAAAGAGATTGCATCTAAAAACTAGAAATGATAGCTTTTGTAAAAGAAAAGGCTATGGATATGGTAGCTTAGTTAACTACATGGGATCAAGAAAATGGAAATTACTATAATACCAAAGATAGATTGAAGGGGTGCACATCATCAAGGAAAAGGAATAAGGCATAGGTTGAGGTAATAGAAGCACAGGAATCAATAGTTAGTGAACAAAGAAATCCACCTATATTGCCAATATTGATTCCAATGTGAAAAAAATACAAAGGAAGTCTTGCAAAATATCGAGTTAAATGTTTAGTAGAGAAGTTGATTAGTAAATACAAGAGGAAGAAGGGAAATGGACAATTGGAGTGTGTTGGAATTACTGAAGATGTTGTAATAAAGGTGAGCTATACCATAGTTATGAGAATTGATTATGTCTTTCTTTTGTTTTGGAAAAGAAAAATTATAACTTAAAGGCATTATCAGGTGGGAGTGGAAATTGGCATGTCCCTTGATGAGGCTAATTATTCTTGAGGGTAACTTTGTGAATATGTTTTAATTTTAATAATGATTGTGGTAGTGATGAAATCAGAGTATAGTGGAGAGCAAATTTGCATCCATTGATGAGATTATGAGAAATTGCAATGGGAAAGCAAAGGATACGAAATTGGGAAGACAAGAAATAGTATTGTCACAAGCATTTAGTGTTTACCACAAGGCGGCAAGAGAGAGAAATTATAATGAGGGAAACTCCTAACTGATAACTAAAGCAAGGAAAAGAAACAAGGAAAAGCATAGAACTTTGTCAAATCCACATTGTATGGTTTGTTATACCACTCGAAGACTAAAGTGCAATAGGATTGGGTAAGGCCCATTAGGGGTGATGGGTTGTGCTTGTTCATAAAGTTATGGGTGGGCCCATTGGGGGTGGTGGGTTGTATATGTCATAAAGTATTATAATGAACAAGAAGGAAAGTATAATTGAACTCAGGTTTTTATACATGCAAATTTTCAATTTGATTCACCTTGCCGTAGCTATTAATGCAAAACAAATAAACACCCATAAACAAAACTAAATGGTTGGAAGTAATAAAATTAGAATCTCAGACATTGAATTGACCTTAGCTGAAAAACAGATGAGTTCCATATGTAAGATGACAATGATAAGGTTTATATGTGTTACCTTAAAGCAAACTCAATTTTTGGTACTATTTAACACAATAGGTTGGTTTTAGACATTCACCTCCTACTTACATTTATAATGTTGGACAATATTTGTAAATGTTTGAGACTTAACTTTGCAAGAACTCAAACCCATGCAACCCAAGCACAAGTGTCATCTTGGTCCTTACCATACTCAATAGAGAAGATGATGTCCATCACCATCAATCGTAGCTTCATATTTAGCATTAAGAAGCATGGGGACATATGGATTAGTTGTAAGGGCAACAATAAAATAATAGCATAATAATTTGAATGATTGGCATGTTCCATTTTATGTGTCATCGATTTCTATGCATAGAATGGATACCAAGTTCTTTTAAGCAAAATTAAATGGTTACATAAATATATGCAATACAATAAAATGAGATCATTGAACTCTAATAAACTTGGTGTGCATGTTTCAATGGACTAACAAAATATTAAGCATTTAAGAAAACAATTCAATCATTCTGATAATAACTGCAGCAATCTATCCTGCAAAGTGGGAGATGCAATGTAATATATGCTATTAGGTAACATTAACTATGAATTATTAAGTATACAAGCCTAAAGTAAAATCTACTTGTGTCGTCCTATCGAATGGCCATGTGCTACATGAGAGGAGTCAATTACTTATGGACAGCACCTTGGAACAAACAAGCTGTCAAAAGTGAGCTCCATTGATTATGCAATTCTACAAGAAAAAATGTCGGAGATGAAGCCATATTGGTTACATGCAAGCAATCTAAACTGTTAACATGAAGCATATAGGATTTACCAAAATGGGTACTGGGATATGGTGTGCATATAATTGCATGCAGTACAAACTACACATGATAATATTGGATGTTTTGTAACAATATCTTTACTAAGAACAACTAATAACATCCCTAAATTAACAAGGCCACTAATCATTATTAAATTTTAAATGCAAGTTACTACTAGTTCACATTAGAAGTATCAAATGATAATGACTAGATGTATGACTTGCACCACATAAGCTGTCCAAAGTGAGCTCCACTAATTAGACAATTCTCCAAAAAAAAAAAAGAAGAAGAAGAAGAAGAAAAAACCCATAATCAAACCATGCTGGTTGCATGCAAGCAATCTAAATTCTCAATGTGAAGCATATGGCAATTACCAGAAAAGAGTACCTTGATATGGTGAGTAGAAAATTGCATGTAGTACAAAGTGTAAGAAAACAAGTTTAGATTTTTTGTAATTGTATCTTCACTAATAACATCTAACAACTTGATGAGCTAAATTTCTATACATATTAATGTGGAATTTCTACGTTGATGTTAATGATATTTGGATGAGTCTTATAAGATTTTACTCGATTTATATAATTTTCTTTATTTGTGTAGGAAATGACTTATTTGGAGGAAATCATAACTTTTAGCACCAAATTAAAGATATGAAAAGGCTGAGGATTAAGTTGTGTAGAGTTTAGAAGTTAGAGATCAAGACTATCATTTTACCATTAACCAAAATTGCTTTTAAAGGCCAAAATCCCAACACAAACTCCTCATCGTGGATACAATGCATGTGTCAAGTCCTTCTTTAAGGTGTAGATGCCTTGGGGATTTCAACAAGTCACACTAGGTCTTTAGTAATTTTATGTAGGTCCTATGTTTATTGCAATTACGTTTTCTAAAATCCTATAGCTACTCATTTAATATCAAAATGAAGTGGAGTTTTGGAGGCTAGTGGTAGCACTCTTTTGGGCACTCATGGAGATCAATATAAAGTATTCATCAACAATAAAAGATTAAGGATTTTATCTCAAATTAAGTTTTTGTTTTTTCTTAAATTAGTTTTATTTATTGTTTGATATTTTTATATTCGTAACTATGATTTCAAATTTCATTACTTTTATTATGAATTGATTTAGCCAACTAGGGTTACAATGTAGCTTAATCAATTCAACCTTGACTTTTGTGACTTTTATGCTTTTGAAATTATTATTTAATAATAAGTATATACTATTGTTCTTAATGCTTTTTAATACTTGATTACCAGTAAAATTAACATGAAGAGCATAATTGAAACCAAGAGGAGATTTGATGCAATAACTTCTAATAATATATACCATGAAATGAATGAAAGTCAAAAATAGACCAACTTGATTTGTGTAGTATTAGTCATAAGTAAACTTAATTTTCTACTGAAATTAGGGAATTTCATAGAATATAATACATTTTTATCTACTTAAATTCACATAGAGATATAATGGGTTAATAGATGAAAATAGATTTGGTATAATTTTAAAAAATATATTGAATATAATAGCAAAATTCTGTTGTCACATGAGTAACAATATCTTGAAAGTATAATAATCTAAAATCTATGTTGGTTGGTTATGCTGAAGTCAATACCTTAATACCTCATATCTTTGTTAGCTTTATTTTAATTGTTATTTTCTTTTTATTATATTTAATTAAAGTTTCTTCCTTGTCAATTGTTCAAATAAATCTAGGTTAATTATTTTTTATACTTAATCACAATTCTTATAGATTCAACACTTTCCTCATCATTATATTACTTAGAGCAACTAATACCCTTACTAGAGTGATTCTAACACATCGCAACTAACAAGGCAACTAATTATTATTGAATTTTAATGAAAATTTACTACTAATTCACAATAGAAGTGTTCAATGAAAGTACTAGAATAATCATCATCCTTTTACCATGCAACTAATGCTGTAAAAATAAATTGGCAACTTAGAAGATCAGACTAAGAAAATCAACCAAGAACAGTTACTATGTAAAATTTGCAATTAACATGTAATCAACACTAGACCAAGGTAGTATGAACACTTGAAAGTACATCAACATTCTATTTTAGGTGAATTTAGAGGCCAAATAGGGGAATTGAACCTCTTCCCTCATCATTGGAGAATTGAAATTGTAAGGCCAACTTAGTTTATCATTGGCATCATCAATCTAGCAAAACAAATAATCTTTTAGACACCTAAACTGATAGAAATTAAAAATTCTTTATGACCTAACAAGTGCAGTTTCTTCATGTACAACAAAGCAGTTTACATAGATAACATACTCCAATTCTACAAAATACTAACTCATGATGTATCAATTGAAAATTGATCAATGTGCTTAGTACTCAAAGTCTCCAACTAAAAGTTGATAGGCCATATTTCATCATTTCCCCAACAGATTTCCCTTACCAATTGAAATGTCTTAGCATATGACAAAGTGAAAAATGGATTTTATTAGTTATTATATAAAAAGCTCACTAGTAATACATGTATTAAATATCCTAACTTATAACAAGAGCATCCCCTTACCCAACAAAACTGGTTTCCAATAATCTCTACTATCATCTTCAACCTCATTTATTTCATAAAAATTGTCTATAAATATCTTGATCTTCATTGGAATCGGTTGTTTGTTTCTCATAATTCTCTACTCACCATTCTACAAAATCCCTAATAAACACTAAACTATAGAAATTAAATTTCACTACAAAACACTTTAGCATACTATGAAATTATGTAAACTACTAATTATAAACAACTTTGACTAAATATCACCTAATTGGAGCACAAACAGCATCAAAGACTCATGACCCAACACTTCATCATATTCACACTGAGACTTCTCAATTATGTTAACGATTTTTAACTAGATCTATACTCTATCTTTCTTCCATTGCTCCAAGAAAGCTGCTATTGGCTCTCAACCACCATTGCCCACCATCAACTATAGGCACAAGGAAATAGCACTCATTCCAAACCTAGAAGATGCAGAACAAAACCAGAACAAATTTGAGTATTATTCTTGGCATATGTTTGGTACCTCATATAAGAATAAGTGAATGAATGGATGAAGAGTTAAGAGTATTCACATCATATCCCTGAATCGGGATTATTTTGTTTTAAATAAAATGTTACTAAGGTGTGTTTCACCAAGTGTCAAACTGGTGGATATACGAATCGTCATCCAAATACATTTGGTAATATAATCAATACATTTTAGACAATATCACAAATAAATTATCTTCTTGTACTACCAATTATTGTAACAGTCTTTTATCCTTCTCCTTTATTTCTTTGTTTTTATTGAGGAAAATAATTGATATATCCTTGGTTTAATACATCTTTTAATACTTATCTAGTTTAATTATTAAAATATAATATAAATATAGCCGATTCAATCAATTTCTGCATTCTGTATATATGATTAGATTTGTAGATTTGTTTACATTTAATTTTAGACTAAAAAATAATAATTTTTTAATAAATATATTGTACAATGTGTTAAAGTGTACTAGCCAATTACCTTTTATTAAAGAAAAATGGTTGGTGATACGTTAACGCGCCCTTAATCCTTCTTTTTAACCCTTTCTTTTCTTCTCCAACTCCTTTTCTTGACAAAAGCCAATGTCTCTTTGCCGGATGCCGGCACAGCAGAATTCCTTTCTTTCATTCTTTATTATTACTTCATTAATGTGAGATTTGATTCTTGATTTGGTTCAGACATTAATTTCAATCTTTAATTTCCTCCCTTTATGACCTAAAGTATTTCTGCTCAAGGAAAACAAGAATCTGAATTCAACCTCAAATTCGAGCGAGCACAATTTCCATTTTGCAAAGTAGATTAATTAAGATGAATGATCCTAGCATTAGCTTGAGGGTTTATTGCTAAATTTGCTCCCTAAATTTTTTTTTTTTTTTTGGCTCAGCCTCCCTAAAATTAATTTGTTTTAATGCACTTTTTTTTTGTTTTTGTTTTTGAACAATGTTTTAAACTTTTTTAGTCCCTTAACTTAATAACATGCATTTCTTTTTATCTTTTATTAGCGTGGAAGAGAAATGTCCCAATAAGCGCCTACATTTCACCAAAATTTTGAAGAAAAATTATTTTTTAATCGACCTGACAGCAACTAATTGGACTTCAACTGATAAGAGGACCAAAAAAGTGCACGTTATAAGCGCTTTTTTTTTTTTTTATGAAAAATAGAATTTCATTGATATAGAAACACTATAAAGATTACAAAACCAACACAAATAGGATAATACGAAATATGTGAAAATGAAAAATCAAATGACTTAATACTTATATAAATATCATAATCAGATCCAAACTCAAGATTCTATGTTGTCAAGTTAAGAAACAAAAAAAATGCAAAAAATTATTCAATAAACAAAAAAGTGCATTGAAACAAAGAGTATGGACCAAATTTAGCATCAAATCTAGGCTTGAGCTTGGGCTGGAAGTCTGGAACCAACTCCGTTTAACAGTGCCACATGAATTTGAGAATCTAGCTTTCCAATTGTACTCACAGAGATATAACTGTTCAATTTATGCTCTGGGATGCTTTAATTTGCTAAAGCTAAAAGTTTCCTGACACAAAAATACCAAACCCAACTTCTAAGCAATTCCAAGAGAACAACAATATTCAACCATTGGCTCTTTAATTTCCAGGATTCCCTTTATCTTTTCTAAAGAGAACACAATATATATTTTAGACAAGAGCCTCCCTTTCTTTGATCAAGTTGGCAGTAACACCATGGATTATAATTACAGACATTCCTCTCGTCGTCTTACGATTTTCGCCCACTTCTTCGGTGTCTTGGCCTTCATTCTCATGCTCATTTGGCTGTTGCATTATCGCGGTGGTTTACAGTATGATTCGTATGACAATTATGACCGTGTTTTCAATGTAAAACCTCGCCTAGCTTACAATTTTTGTTTTATTTCAGTTAGTTGAGAAAGTTCACTAAATTTGTTCTTGTTCTTCCATGGCATATGCTGTAGGTTCATCCATTTCTTATGTATTGTGCATTCATTTTCCTGGCTGGTGAAGGTACGTAATTCACAAGTCTTGTCTATCGCCAATTTTATTGTTTAGTCTCAATCTTTAAAACCAACTAATTTGGTGCTTAATCTTTACAATTTCTTAATATAGGACTTTTAAACTGTCCTCACCGTGAGAAATGCATGGCATTACTGGTTTTTTTTTTTTTTCTACAACGTTTTTTTCTTCTCCAAAGTTTGTGGTGTTTTCCAATTTCTACTCAGAGATCCGTGTAGCATCTTACCTAAACCCTCTTAGATAAAATAATGGGGTTTATGTTTTTTTTTGTAGTTCTTATAATTAGTTATATAATAAAAAAAAAACTATTTATTTCAAATCTTTTCTCATTCATCTAAAAATTTTAGCTTGAGAGCTCTAATTTAAAGTTTTAACCTTTTACTAGTTGAGTTTGTGTTAAAGTTTTAAAATGTTAAGGATCTAAGTTCCACTTTTTAAAGGTTGAGGACAATTATGCAAGCAACTCTAAAGGTTGACGGTCAGTAAAAAGAATATTTACCCTTGTTTCTGGTTATTCAAACCTGTGTGCTAAATGTCAAAAGGGTATTTATTATATTTTTTTATCATTAATTTGTATAAAAAATTAAAAAAATAAATTTTATTTTTAAAATTGATACCATGTAAGACAATTTAATTGGACAATTTTTCAACAACAATACTATATGAAATGATTTAATTGAATAATTAATAAAATTTAAGTTAACTTTTATTTTTAACATATAATTAAATGATAAAAAATATAATAATTGCACGTTTAACTGGTGCCATACATGTTAGAAAATTTATTTTTTGGTATTCTCTTGTATTAATCCCAGCTATATTCCTTAAAAAGAACCCTTCTTAATTAATTATTAATGAATTGGGGAATTTGATTAAATTAAAACAGCGATGATGGCATACAAGACGGTACAAGCGTCTCATCATTCGCAGAAAATTGCGCATATGGTACTTCACCTTAGCGCTTTCATTCTGGGGGTGATTGGGATATCTGCTGTTTTCAAGTTCCATGATATGGCCGGCATTGAAGACATGTATAGTTTGCATTCCTGGATTGGTTTAAGCACCTTCTGCTTGTTTGGCATGCAGGTAACTACAATGTCTCACCTAATTGTCTCACTTTCTAAAATAATATTTCTAAAATAGTTTTCCATAGTTAAATTGGGAATTGGAGTAAATGCAATGTTTAATTTTAAAAAAGCGTTTCTTACCTTTTCAAAAAGTTAATTTCAATTTTTAAAATGTTAAAGTTACAAATTTATCATTTTCGTATGATATATATAATAATTCACATTTTACAGTTTGAGCTATACATTAAAAATATAGCCGAGTATTGAAATTACTAAGTGACTATTAATAAAATCAAACTTGTAGCCAAGCCATGTTTTGACATTTGGTTATAGATTTTACCGCTAATTTGCAAGTTTTGACCGGTTTAATGCTAAACTGCTTATTTTAGTAAACCATTTGCATGATTTGTCACTGGTCCGACTGGTTTAACTGGCCAATCTGATCCAATTTTGAAAACACTCCCTCAAACGATTCAATGTCTAGTCTAGTTTTCACAACTATGCTTTTACGGCTAAGCTTATGTAAATTCTATATTCTTGACTAACTAATTCCTTCTTAAAACTTGGCAGTGGCTTTTTGGGTTATTTTCATTCTTCTCTCCAGCCGCAACACCGGAAACGAGGATGAGGGTAGCTCCATTGCATAGAGCAGCCGGGAGGGCATTGTTATACCTGTCAATATGTGCAGCTCTCACTGGAATTATAGAGAAATTCACATTTCAGAGACTAAAGAACGAGCGCGAAGCTCGTCTTATGAACTTCATGGGTTTATCCATCCTCTTGTTCGGCATTTTTGTCGACCTAAGTGTCGCGCTTGCCCGTGACTCTTCTCCTCCGTATTAATTTAATTAATTAAGCTCCTTATTCTTATATTCTTTTATACTGTGCGTGAATGTGATATTTATACATTCGATATATTAATTTTTCCCTCATTGAATTTGGATTGAAGATGTTGTAATGCCTAGAATACATCTATTTTGTTGATCACCATATATTTTTTGTAACTTGAATTCACTAATTGGTGGTTTGCCATTATTGAATAAAAGATTGGCATCATGGATGTAGTATTAATTTTTAATGAATGATTTTGCAAATTGGTATGAAATTTGGGCTCTAATAAGTATAGTTGTTGTTTTAAATTTTAAATTTTAATTTTCATAAATTTTATAATTATTGAAAATCAAAATTAAAAATAAAAAACTAACAATTTGTCTAAAGTAAATTTTAACATTGACAATAAAAAATATAGGGAATAGTATTCATATATTTACCTTATTTTTCAAAATTAACAAAAAAATTATTTTAAAACTACATCATTTAAATAAATTTAATTGAAAAATTAAAGGTTAAATACCCTTTTTGGTCCCTCTTATATTGAAAAAAGTTC